TTCAAAATACAAGGTCTTTAAACAAAAAATAACGTATACTTATTGTCGTCGGATTAACACCAAATTTTCACAGCTTTAAGGTGACAATGAGAGGAACTTGAACGTGTCCAGACAAACTATTTCATGGATTATTTACCAATGTGTTGTGGTTTGAGTTGGGATCAATGCGACTAAAACAGAAATTAAAATTCAGAACACTATTTTTCAAAACGCATTGCTTAAATAAAACTGATCAGACACATTCAATTTACCAGACTATTGAAGAACTAGGAAAAGTGAAAACAAAACTTCTTATCACCAGCATAAATGCGTAATTATTTTTTTTACCAAAAAAGTAATTTTTCACTTTTGATTAAGTAACGCATCGTAGAATGCGGGCATGACAAACACACCTTTGAAAAGCTTGAAGTCTGACGATTCCAAAATATATACTTTCCTGGGTCTATTTGTAGTCGTTTGGTCCCAATTAAAAGATGAAAACAAGTATGCAAATAATAGTCCCGCGACCTTAACTGAAACCTGTCTTTTTTGGACAAAAAACACGTCAATACCAGATTATGTGTGCAAGAACGTACACGACCGCTTAACTCTGTGTTGTTTTAATAATCTCATGTCGCATGTGAAACACAGGAGACATTTATTTCATCCATTTCTTGTTTACCGATATTGAACTTTTTGTCTGGAATGTGATACAAAAATTAAACATTAATGATACCTACCATTGTCAAATCAACCAAGAGGCTTGAATCAGGAAGGCTTGGCTATTTTAAACTTCGTAAATATCATTCTTTTCAAGCGTAGACTTTATTCGAGTGTAATAAATGTAAGTGAAAAATTACGACTCTTATTCTTGAAATTGGTGATAAATACTTGCATATACCATTTCACGTAACAACAATTCGTCTACAGCATTGGATTTATTGAGTTTTTACGCATTTCGACTTCACAGTGAATTATTTTTAGTGTCATATTTGAAATAGCGTGCTCGATGCAAGATGTCGGACGGGAAAATTGGGGTCTGTAAAAATGTTTGTTGGTTCAGTCAGGCAATATGGGGACCAAAACATCGCCCACTATTTGAAACATCGCCCATGGGCGGGGTTTAGGATGGACGGGGTATCAGCCGGTAGTAGTAAGGCCAAAAAGTCAGATGGCTGTCAATCGGCCATCCTTGATCCGATTTTGAAACAAATTATCATGGACATGTATCCTAACATGTATAAAGTATGTGCCAAATTTGAATGAAAGCATTTCCAAGATACCACATTTAAAAAAAAACACAAGATGCCTGCCTGCCAGTCGGCCATCTTTGATCCAATTGCAAAAGAAATTGTCATGGACATGTATCCTAACATGTATAATCTATGTACTAAATTTGAATGAAAACTGACAAAACATGTCCAAAATACAACATTTTTAAAAAAACATGATGGCTGCCAGTCGGCCATTTTGAATCGAATCGCTAAACCACTGCATGTGCATATGTCCCACATATAGTACTAGGCACATGCAAAGAATGAACGGAATCGG